CTTTCAAGGGATGGTGTTGGTGAGGAATGTTTTATTTCAAATCATACATTCAGATCTAGAAAAATTCAGATTGGCAATACACCAGCTAACATGTTAGGGATAAGTAAGTCAAATAATACACAAATATTTAAGCAAAAATAAAATGTCAGCTTGCTCTGTAAACAAAGGTACTTAATTGCCAGTAAGGAGCTATGAGGTAGTTCTAGTATGCTGCTTGTTGACCAGCAAAAGTTGAATCATGTGGTTTATATAATTGTCATGATAGTTGTGTCTACCATACGTTAAAGCTGCATTTCATAGACAAAAATGTCACATTGGATAGAATTTCCAGTAAAGTTTGTGCTATCTATTGATCTAATTGCTTCTGACAGTCTAACCATTGTATTCAAGGTCTTTCAAGAAAATTTACTGTACTGGAGCAATGCAACCAATTCAGGAGCTGTGGATACCATAAGCAGAGAATTTACTGGGAAGATGATTATTTTCTGAAGCAACTGCTTTTTGAAGAACCCTTCCCTAGTAGGTGCTCCCAACTAAAATGGGTTACCTGCCTTATGTTCTGCCCTGTTTCCCAGAAAAACTACAGAGTTACCTTTTTTTTTTCATATACAGACTGATATCTACCCAAAGAAGTGTCCAAAACTTCTAAAAATGTGTTAACCTACCATGCCTCTGCTTCTCTTTGCATCGGCAACATTGAACAGGGCTGAAGGGATTTGGACCATGGGCCCAGTCTACACCTCCTGATCTATAGGGGCTGTGCTGAAGCAGCATCCTGGATATTATAGAATCATAGAACAATTCAGGCTGGAAGGGACATCAGTGGGTCTCTAGCCTGTCTTCCTGATCAAAGCAGGGTCAGTTACGAGGTCAGATCAGGTTCTTCAGGGTTTTATGCAGTCAGGTCTTGAACACCTCCAAGAACGCCTCCTGAAAGGAGGTTGTAGTGAGGAGGGTGTTGGTCTCTTCTCCCAAGTAACTAGCGATAGGATGAGAGCCAATGGCCTCAAGTTGCATCAGGGGAGGTTTAGATTGGATATAAAGAAAAATTTCTTTACTGAAAGAGTGGTCAAGCATTGGAACAGGCTGCCCAGAGAAGTGATGGAGTCACCATCCCTGGAGGTGTTCAAAAAATGTGTAGTCATGGCACTTCGGGACATGGTGTAGTAGGCATGGTGGTGTTGGGTTGACAGTTGGACTTGATGATCTTAGAGGTCTTTTTCAACCTTAGTGATTCTATGACGGAAAGCAATAAGTGACAGGTGTTCATGTGGTGCACAAGACTGTTATATTGCTAGTTTTTTCCATCTTCATTCAGGGATGATTTAAAATCCAGTGTACTCGCAGAGGTAAAATACAACAGCCAAGTGTTGGAAATATCACTAACCTAGGAGCAAAGGCAGAGGAAGGAAATTCTCCGAAGACTGCCCATGCTCAAGAACAGGAAGGAAAAGAGGAAAGGGGTGAGACAAACAGATTGTATTTTTTGATGATTAAAATCACATGTGTGATAGGAGAGAGAGAGAGACACTTGACAAAGAATAGCCAAAAGACTGGTAGTGAAGGTACGCATCTGGTTTTGAGATACAAAATTTCAAATCCCAGGTCTAAACCAGCAAAATGAGGAACCTGTCTTCCACTTCCACAATGACTTTCCTAATGATGACTGTAAGCTGTCACAGTGGAAGTCAGTCTCACAAAGTTTTAAGGGAAGAACTCTAAAATATTTGGGGTTGTGTTGCTTCCAGGCCACACGTTTGAAACTTCAAACAATCATGGAACTGAAAAAACACTTTCTTCCTCTTCTTCTCTAAATCTACTTGTTGTCTAGAGAACTATCCAACCTGACTTTGAAAATTTCAAACTTTTAGTTTCCTGATACAATTTAACTCCAGTATTAAATTCCACAGTTTTATGGCTGATTCTAAGAAAGAGTTTTCCATGTTCAAGAAGTTTCCATATTCAAGATGTTACACCCCTGCCTCTGATTTTTGGCTCATAATTCTTATTTCCTGATTAGAGTGTAGAGAGGAAAAACTGAACTTAATCTTAGTTCTCGCAGTCCTTGAAGGAAAACGATCTCCAGGTCAGCCTCACAGGGAAATTGCAGCCCAAAGCAGTATCCTTCCTACACCTACATTTATAGCAGGGGGAATCCAGAGAGACCCAGAGGGAATATTTACTGAATATGAAGGTAGGACTTCAGCTGCATAAGCTGCAAGACCCTTTAGGGGTGGAATGATGATTGTTTTTACACTGATGGTCTTTGCCAGGGTGCTTATGACTGCTTTGCACCTGCTTTGCACAGGCACAGTTGGTGTAAAATAGCCTTTGGCTACCTATGAATCAGTCCCCTACTCTCAGCAGAGACAGAAGGATTTTGTTCAATGTCCTTAAACGGAATGAGTACATGTCAAACCATGGGAAGAAATCAGCTTTGAGTTAATTCGAAGTAGCTTTTTGAGCAAGGAGGCACAGCAACTGTAGAGACACTTAACTTTAAAATCGTGTTCTTTTTATTTTAGGTTTTGGCTTCTGTTACTCAGATCTTTTTCTCTGTGGCTGCAACATGCTTTATATATAAAAGAAATCTTGTTAGACAGAAGCTTCAGGTATTCCAAAGTGAGTATGAGTCAGCCATGGCTATATAACAGCAACTATCCTGGTAAGAAAGCCACAGAGCAGGGCAGGGTGAGCAAGCAACAATTTTATGTTTTCTTGAAAAATTTAAAAATGAGAAAAAATGCTAGTTGCACATTCATTCATTTTTCCTCTGCAAGATGTGCTTTGCGACGTAGCAGAGAAACTACGTGACTATCCCTTTAAAAGCCATCATACCAATCAGCAGGTTTAACTGTCAAGCAAGCTGATGTAGGGCTCTTTGAATTACTGAGTGAGGGATATTCTTCCTGCCACATCCTGTCCCCTGTAGGCACTGCAGAGAAGTATTATAGGGCAGTCCTTACCTTGGGAATTAGCCTGCAAGACCCCAATGCTGTCATCAAACTGCATAGATTTGATGTTGAGTGACGCCAAGATGCATTCCTTGTCCTGCAGCGAAGCATCATCAATATTATTCTGATTGGCTGACAGGATAACGCACATGTCGCAGAGGTTGATGTTGACAGCCCTTAAATCAGCCCGACTTAATGGTGTACCCTTCGGCACAGAGAAAAAAAAAGGGGGGGGGGAGGAGAGGAAAAAAAAAGAAAAACAAACTGAAGATAGAGAAGGAGCTTTGGGAAATTATTTAACAAGTATCTTTTTTATGCTCTGACATTAAGCTGGTCTAACTATGTGCCAGGGAATAGGAGATGTGCGCTAATCTAAAGGGTAGTTGGTGCTGATGGCAGCATTTTAGGTTCAGTCTCAATACTCAGTCAAGCTATTACTAACAAACAAGAAACAGGAATAATGCCAGCATTCTACATCTCATCGGTGACTTGAAATTGTCTTGATTTAAGTTGCTATCATGTGGCAACCTCTGGCTCTCTGAATATAACAAGGGGTGTGTTTTAAATGCCTATTTATCTACCACCAAGTCACAATGGTCTTGGGCAAAAGAACAGCAATTTTAAGTGGAAAGCATTATGTGTCTTACACAATTGGAATGCAATCAGGATAAAGCTATTTTTTTCTACCTGAAGCAATCCACAAAAAAGGTTAATCCTTTTCAATGCATGTTTTTGGTGCCTCTAGAAGGAAAACACACTGATCTTCAAGGTTGTGTGATTAAACCATTTGAAACAGAAACAAGACTTATCTTAATGGGCACAACTCACGCCACATTCCCTGCTTCCACAATTCTCAATCAGAGACTACAATAATCAAAATGTTGTGGTAGTCTGTGGGGTTGTTTCATAGTTAATGCAAATGAGACACAGCACTTAACCCATTACATTTTGTTTAAATATAACACTTGCTTTTCACATCCAGCAGCCCACACCTCTAGTTACAGAATATTAAGCCTATGTCAGGGGGGTGGCAAGGTCCAGGGAAAAACAGATTTTTTTATGGATACTAGATTCTGCTCTGCTGCCTCACACGGTTTGCTACCCAAAGAGCCTAACGATGATGAGGAGACTAAGCTGTCCCCTTGTCACACAGAAACTTTCATCAAGCCGAGTCAAGACCCTGCTCTTCCACCTCCTGATCACTCATGGTGATCATCTCCTAAACTCCACTGAGAATATTCAATACAAAAGTGACTTTAAAATGCACAAAGTGAAGGCAGAGCTCAGTTCTTACTCAGTGACTGCCACCCGGTTTCAGCCTGACTATTCCACGTTACTCTCAATAATTTGAGGCAGGAAACCTTGTGGAAAACAGTTTCTATTGAACTGATATGATTTAGTTATAAAGTACTCAAAAGTTGGGATATGATTATTCCTGCCACCTTAATTCTGCCCTTTGTGTCTGTACTGTGCACCAAGTGAAGCAGGATTCCTGTGGGGAAAAATAATATGCAATCATGTAATTAATTAAAGGCTTACTCCTAATGATTTTATGCAAAGGGACAGAATTAAGGCTGCCTGAGGATAATTAAAATTGGCATTTGCCTACTTTTTAAGAGTTTACTCAGCAGCTTAAATGCCTCTTTTAATACAGACTTTAAATGAAATTTCCACTTTTTTTTTTTACACCAGAACAAATGTTGTTATATTGAGCTGTAACCGCATCCCCATCAGATATCAGCAGCCGGTTTTACCTCGTGAACCAAAGCACAGAGAAGTAGGAAATGAGTTTGAGTGGCCTGCCTTTAACACTCATTCCTACCAGCATGATCTCAGAAACTTTAGTGAGAACTTTTAAATTAGTATAATTAGAGCCAAATAACGATGATATTTTTAACTTTATATCACCATCTTGAACCAGATTGGCTGGGAAAAAAAAAAAAGAAAATGCAGTAATGAGGTCTGCGTGATCTGCAGCACCCTTGATTACCGTGTAAAATACAAATCCTTTACACATTCTGTATTTTTAAAGGTGCGTTAACTAGCTATTTAAGCTGTTTAACTCGAAATTAGTCCAAAACTACTCTAAATTTTGGTGCAATTTGGGTGCAAACTGATTGGGGAGTGTCAAAGTGGTGTACATTTCCTTCATGCCTCTTGAGAATTCAGAATCTAAATATTACAAATATGTATTATAATAATGGATACACATTATAGTAGTAGTTTGGAAGTAGCAGGTGGATTCTATTCTGCTCCACAGTTCAACAGCATTATTAATTTCATTCTGATTCCATAGTCTTTAGCCTTCACTGTGCCTGGAATTAAAAGGGATTGGCAGGAAGGGGAGGATATTAATTGTCCAAACCTGATATTGACACCATTTTTGTGACAGCAGAGAATCTTGTGACACCATCTGTTGGATCAATTTACAGAAAAAAAGCCAAGGGCTACCACTAAAACTGCATTTACAGTAACAAAGACCTATAGCCTGAATTGATCGGGAAGTGAAGGCAGTCTTCCCACTATATAGCTATTTTCCCAGTTCTTCAGTTTAGGTTACATCCACCATCGATGTATTTATTTTCAACTGCTGAAATGTAATTATTAAGAACTGGTAAATACATAATTTTTCTTTATGATAAAAACATACAAACTAACTTTACTCTGAACAGACAGAGAATTCTCTTTCGTACTTATACCGTGGGCTCGTTTCTCTCCTGCCTACGTCTTTGTGGGTCATTTATAGCTATGACCACCTAAGATCACTTGGAGGGCTTCGTTTGTTTGTCCTGGAGCTGATGTTTCTACATTTTGGGCATAGGATTGAATGATAATGATATATAGGAGAAAAAGGACATCTGATTTGTAGTGTTAATGGTTGACCCTACTAAAAACAATAGGAGCTTTTCATTGATTTCAAAAGGGTCAGGGTTTTGCCATGCTCCCATATATGAGCATGGCAGGACTCTGAACTGAAATGCTATGGCAATGTCCCTTATAAACTAGGCCAGCCTACAGGAAGTTTTTATGAATATAGATAGACATTATATAGATAGAATAACAATAATTTTTTTCAAGGATTTATGGGTATAAATACATAAATAATGTCACAAATAACGACCAACATTCTGTCAGGGAAATCACAGCATCAGAACCGGCTACATGTCGTGCACTACAGTGAATGTTTGATATATAACACAGCTAATACATCTGATAGCAGCTGAAATTCATCTGACGAGGATGACGAGGAACCAAACACTGGGGCAAATATCTTCTAATAAGGTCTCACAGGGCTCTGTTTTCATAGACACAGTAAAGGGAAAATCTAAGTCCTCAGGCTTATAAGCAGACAAAAGTAAAAAAAGCCTAAGATCAAAATCAATACGAATCTGTCCAGCTGGTGTCCTAAATACCAAAGTATCAATAATATGGCTTTGGACTTACAGGCAAGATTGAAACCTTGGGGAAGTTATGCAGTGTCTCCCATTCCCTTCTCAGGTATTCAAGTGAACCCACAAACACAATGTGCTTGAGTTCATGGTAGTGAAAGTTGCTGGCTCGTAATGGCATCACTAAATTTCTTAATCCAATCAAAGCAGATTTAACATCCCCAAATATGCAAACGACTACATGCCCACTTAAAACTGTCATCGCTGCTTCACTTCGAGTCTAAAAAAAAACAAAACAAAACAAAAAGACAAGGGAGAAATGAAACAAAGGGAAGCTTAAATCATGTATTGAGTTTTAAACCAGGAAAAACACAACTGTCAATATTGTTCATGCACAAAGAAGCAGTTTGATAATAGCTGTTCATTTTACCCTTATTTGTCCTTCATTAAAAGTGCTCAGCAGAAGAAAATTTCTTTCTTGTTTGCAAATCCTTCAGTGTTCAGGACGACATTGTACTGGACCGGACTCTGGTCCTGTTTATGTTTCTACACACGTGGATTAAGACTCTGGTTACAATCAAAGTACTGTGGGTTTAGCTAAGAACAGAATTTGACCTACTATGCATTTAGCCATTAAAAGGATTATAGAAAAGAGATGCAAACCCATGCCTTAGCTGGCGAATCACTAGTGGGTTTTATTCAGGACCAATTTGAAAAGGAAAATGTGAGTTCCCACTGGTCTGAGTAGGGCGTTATGGCATTACACATATCTGTTGAATCGAGGACTGTAGTCTCTTAAAGTTCTTTTAGGATAAGCTGCTACTACCCTGAGAAGCAAACAAAGAACGCTCTACATGGCTCTGCTTTACAATGGATGCTCACCGTACTCCACAGAACTTCTCTCAGTAACAAAAAACTAGTGTGCAAGACCGTGACCGATACCAACTTTTCAGGCCCACTGGACCTCCTGAGTCGTTGAACAGATAAAAGGAAAAAAGCCTCATGGGGAACATTTGAATAATGTTCAGAATTATCTTCTTGTCTCAGTGACAAGAACAAATTTTTTTGCACTAATTTCATCAGTGGTAATGTCAGTTGAGCAGGCAACTCAAACACCAGGATGATTAAATAAAGCCATTAGGAAAATATGACTTTCATTCCTAGAACCAGCCTCGGCATTATTGTACTCCATCAAATAGTTGTAGATCTACAATATCATGTTGTCAAGAAGTTGTACAATCAGTATCATTCCATAGAAGTTTTGCCAATGAATAAAACTAAGACAATGGTGGACTGCAAAATTTTCCCCTTACTTATCCGTAGTATATATCCTTTTCGTAATTATGGAAGCGTGACAATGTGCAATACAGATTGGAACATGCAGCAGAGGTGTTTGCTATGTAAGAATGGGAACTCCAAGTAGAAGTTTTTTCACCAGTTAAAAAAATACATGAGCTTTCAATGTCTCTGGAGCAATTACACTGATTTTCACACAACTCTACCAAGAGAGTGGTCTTGGCCCTTCAAACAGCAGAACACATGAACGAATGCTCAAGTGAAGTATGTAAGTTGTCCCATGCCTCTGCCTATGTGTCTGGAATACTCAGACTTTACAAGACAGAGACCAAGTCTTGAAAGAAACTATGTAAAAAATGTCACTGTATAATCATTGATCTGTGTGTAGCCATGTACATTGGACTGTATGTCAAAAAAAGTTCCTTACTACCTGATACTGCTGTAATCTTGCAAAGCCAAAACAGACCTTGGGCAGAAAAAAGAATTCTTCTTTGATTGAGGCACCATCAAGTATCAATTAGAAGACAACCTGGGAAATCCCATCATCTACAAATTATGTACTAATTTGTACTTATGTGATCTCTAAGGACAGCGTTAAATTTGCATGGATATGAATGTAGACATAAACTGATCGGTGATGATGCATGAAGCAGAAAGAACCTGGCCCAACTTATAGATTGACATGCTGTCGGGGGGAAAATTGACATGGCACCACCATGAGACGACAAATGAGGCACTCCACAGCACCATTTTTGGAGAAACACTTTTCAAAGTGGGACAACATGTAAAGGTTTTCTGCTGAAATGTGTTTAGAACATGAAGGCAGATTTCTAGCTCTGTCTGTTACAAAGTATTGTACAGCAGGGCTTCCCCTCCGTGCCTGCTGAAGACATCTAAATGCATACTATTTAAAGCTGTTCAGCCAAACTCCGTATCACAGCTCAGTCTCTCGAATTTGGAATTGACTTGCTTGACTGTTTAAACACCCATATTGCAATTCCAAGCAATGCCACGGTTATTACAGAGACCCCCGAGGAGAAGTGGAGACAAGCTTTTAACCCCTGATTGCTAGAATAAACTGGGGCTGTCACCGTCATTGGCTACACCACGCCACAGTGCAGGAAAATCTAAGAGAGCAGGCTCAGCAAAAGCTTTATGAAGTGTGACAAAGTGAAGATCCACTAGGGAGTTCATTTCAAATATCATCAGTTTTGTGTATGAGATCTGGAGTTAGTTACTTGTTACTCTTAGGTATGAGTACATGAACACAAGTGGCACAAACTTTCACCAGGCAAAATAGACTGTGATAGGCCTTCTAATTATTTTTAATGACTTCATTCAATTTGATGGTTTCCCCAGTTGCACAAATGAAACCCAGACTAGGCTCACTGCAACATGCTGGAAAGGCAGAGTAGTAAAGCTACTTACTCTGGCCTTTTTGGGCATCTTGAAATGTTGGAAATTGAGAGAGAAGTTCTAAGAGAGCAAAATTCACATAAATAAATAAGAGATAATGCAAAGAAACACTTGCCTGTATTAGAATCATTACTGCCTTGTGTAAAGAGACAAACTGTGTATCTAAATATTTAAGGATTTCCAATCTTAATTCTCTAAAGGTTTAAACTCAATATGGAAATTTCAGCTTATGAAAAAGAAATTGCCAATTTTGGACCAATTTTTATTTTTGCACTTGGCATACAGATTTACATAATCATAATTCTTTAACCAAAATGCTAGCTTTGATTTCACCACACTGTGTTTCTGACTTCAATATGTTGGATTTAACAACAGTAGAGGTTAATTTTTTGATCCATTAGACATCAGTTCCATGGTTCAAATAACCTCTTTTCAAACACGACTTATCATCAGTACCTACCAAAATGACCTTTTCAATGTCCTTGGCTGGACACCAATGAAACATCCCTGTAGAGTCATATTTTTTCACATTGGCATCCATATTGTCAATCTGCTCATTGCCAGGAATTAACAAGGGGTCATGCCTGGGGAAAAACAAGATGAGGACAACATAAGTGGAAAATATTATGAATTATGGATGGAAAGATATCCCTAGAGCTGTGTACAAAGAGGGACAAAAGTAAAAAAATGAAATGTATTTACACTTTAACATGCTTTCAACAGGGGCACTTTTAAACAAAAGCTGAAAAGAAAAAGGTTAATTTTTAAATTTTGGGTGCAGTTTCAAAGGTTTTCTACACTCTTTGCACACTAATAACCATTTCATTTTAAATGTGGCTTTCTGACACCATCACATCCATAAAAGTTTTTTTTCTTATCAGTCCCACCCCTCCAAAGTAAATATTGGAGTTGCTATTAGCATCTACAATGAAGTCGAAGGGACAGGAACAGAGCCCCATGCTGACTGACTGGCATAAGTATGGAAAGCCAATTACTTGCTTTTACCATGTACAACTTCTGACGTGATGCTCTTCGCAGTAAAAGCTTTAACAGGCTGCACTTTAAATATTTTAGCAATTTGCCCAATCATATTTTGCCTTCCCAAACTGAAGCCCTTTAAAGATTCAACAGCATGTCATTTCAGAGCAGGCTGACTAACAAATGCCCACATCTGGAATACATGATTTTAATACCAAACAACAATGTCCATTTTCTCTGACAACTCTACCTGTGATAACCTTCAAAGTGCTTTTGCAGAAAGATTTTAAAGCACAAGGCTTCTCAAAGGAGGAGCAAATAAAAGACATTTTTATAAACGTGCTCTCCAGCAACGTAGTAACACCTAAGCACAGACACACACAGTTCTTTAATTTATATGCTAAAATCAAACATTAAGCTAAGTACTAAGTAACTCCAACACTCTCAGATGTTAGCAAGGGCCCCTAAGTGATTGTATTATACAACAGCATTAGAAGGAGGACCGTGTTTACAAGGCACAGGGTAAACCGACCCTAAACTCTTAAGTTCAAGGAGGGAACAGAGCTTTGTCTGGCAAAACTACAGTCTTTACTTAAGTTATTTTGTCATGAGTGCCTGAAATGTCACGATACAGAATTCTAGCATTCAAAAGAAGAAAATATTTGCAATGTAGGTATATGCCAAGTACTCCGAGACAGGCAGACAAATTTTAAAGCAGTTTGCCTTTTCAAGCCTGTTAAAGAAATGCCCATGTTGCCTGAACTCTCAAAACTAGATTCTTTATTTTAAAGCATACGAGCCAGCAGACTGTGGTGAGAAGCTCTCTTCTGCATTGCCTACTAAAGCAGACCTCGAACATTCTGTATGATATAGATTAATTCATCTTGCATATAGTATGGTAGGTTACAATGCTTAAAAAAGTTCTGCTTGCATGTCTCAAAAAGGTAGTCTCTAATTCTGTCTTGGTGATGAATTTGTGTAATTTTATAGCCGCTGATCATACATCCATTGAAATCAGTGGAAAATTGTCATTCATATCACTCAAACGGGGCAACTCCACAGAAAGTGGCTTAAAAGAACTCAAGAAACTATTAATACCATGTTCCACTTCAACCAAAATCTTTTGATGCTTTAAGGAAAACCAATGCACTACACTGGTTGCCACTACTTGGCAAAGCCACAAGCCAGATTCATCTGGAAAAAGAAAAACTACATTTTCAAAGTTTTTTTCCATTCACTCAACAGAGATAGAGCTCAGCGTGTTCCCTTACGGCAGCAGAGGAGTCTCCAGGGCACTGCCTGGAGCCTCTGACCCTACTCCAGGTTTAGTAAGCCTGGCATAAGCTTGCTCCTTCTTTTGCAGAAAGCAGAGATGACTTCTTGGTGCAAAAGCTGTACCAAAGGGTTTCGTTGTGATTCGATTTTTTTTTTTTTTATTTCCAGAAAAATATCTAGGCTCTGCATTCTCTTACTCCATTTGTCAGCGAGCCACAGCCGTGGTAGCTCTGGCTGAGAGCTACCTGTGGTGCCCTTCACAGGGCATTCTGTGCTGCTCACGGTTGCATGTGCTACAGTAAGGTCTCCAAGCATGGATACAACTCCATCTGTAGGTTGCGCTATTGTTCAGACAACGTTTAGCCGTACTCTGTCCCAGCTATGTTTTCTCATGGAATGCGTTAGCTATGTATTTCAAAATAAGCAAGTTTGCCAGCAGGTTAGGAATCTTCAGGAGCTTCCACTGAGCAAAGCTTTCCTTTCTGTTTTTTTTTTCCGTTAACCTTTCACCAGATATTTCCCCATCAGCTTTTCGTAGCACAGCACTGAAACAAAAGCAAAGTTCACTGATCAAATTGCCTCCTATTTCATCCAGAAATTAGATGTACATAGAAAGGAATTTTCCTTTTCCCTTTCACTTCATCAGAGAAACTATAATATATCAATTTGTGAAAAATGCCACACTAATTTTCTAATCAGTGTTTCTTTTCTGCTCTGAGATTTAAAACTAAATAGAACATCTGCAGCTTTCACACAAGTGAGTATTTAGCAATACTCTAACCCCAGTCACAGAAAGGATATAAATTGAAAGGAATCTTATAACAAAGAAGGTGATAACAGATACCTGACATCAAATTACGGTCAACTGCCTTGAAGTCTGAGGCAATTTTTAGTGTGTGCTTAAAGCCTAACATAGTTCCCTCGTGGGCAGGAGCCTTGCATCCTAAAAGGGAATATTCAAAGTAGCTTGTCCAAAGATTGATTAGAATTTTACCTCAATACCATATTTTCTAGTTATCTTAGGTTTAAACAGACGTGTGCTGTGCAAGGGGTGAAGAATGTGAATCATCAGACGTAACTCCTTATTGAAGTTTTAGGTAACTACTAGAGATATTCTTTTAAAAAAATTTTAAAAAATTAATACATGCATAAAATCAATATTTTCAACCTGATAAACTGGATTCTTTCCTTCACTGCTTGGAGTACAGCAAGTGGGAGCCTTAAAAGAAGCAAACAGTATAGGTCACACCCCAAGAAAGTATGCTAATAGATACTATCATACTACTTTTACTCTAGGAAAATGGATTATTGCCTGAGAAGGAAACCGTGCTAAGACTAGCCACTCTGTGTGTTTCAGAATCTGTGGTTTCTTGCATATAAGTGTTTACTAAATTTAAGTCTTTTGGGCTAAGCTATTATTTTTATCTCTCCTTGATCACTGACTTTTCATTCTCAATAAAGCAATCCCTGAAGATGTTTAAGAAGGTTGAAAACTGTTTACTACTGAGGTCCAAATTTGTCCTCAGATGTTAGAAGATACGCTGGCTTATGTACTTAAAAACTGAATTGATCTTTGGACTTTTTTTTTTTTTTAAAAAAACTATGGTCATTTTATGAAGTAATACAGTAATAAAATAGTATTACTACTTTGGACATACATGCTCTCATTAATATAAACCTGTGTTGCCAATACTAAAAATTAATTAAGACAGACACACAGAGGCTAAGGCTGTTGAATCTGCCTAAGGGTTTGGACACCCTCTTCCTATTAAAATTCATATTACACTAAGTATCACATTTGTTGCCCTTACGGACAGATCATGGACTGAATGTTTCCAGAGCCCCTCTGCCCCCCTCACCCTTGAAGCTGGCCCTGTCAAGCCACGCTCAAGTCACATTGGCAGGTTATTGGGGAGATGCTTGTCCTAGTACTGCAGCTATTATGTTCTCCAGGGCTGTAAAGTCATCTGCTTGAAAAATCAAATTATAAGAAAAAAGCCACCTTCCATCAGCTAAAATCCATAGTGTTTCTTTTAAACTAGATGTTGTCTTTTATGGCTTGCGATGATCGAAGCATTCGGTCATTCCAGTAGGAAAAAGCAGGTGCATATAGCGTGCACGTGAGAAAAGGAGCAGAAAGTTAAACTTCCCTCATCCATAACCCCAGCTTGAAAATAGCTTTTTTAGTTCTTATGGCAGACATTACATACGCATGACTTCAAACGAAGAGCAAAATATCATGTTTTCAATGTTTTGAAGAGCATGTAATGCCACTTATGATCAATTAAACTTGAAAACGACACTAAATGCCACGCTACAGCTGCAACCCCAAAAAGCCTGCCTGGAAGACAACAGCCTAAAGCAAAACCATAAATCCCACTTCCAGCAAATCTACTGCGAGGAAGTCAACATTACATTTTAAAGAGCACTGCTTTCCTAGCACACATTTATAACTACTGCAAGCTTCTTATTTGGCGGTTCTGAGTCTGGAAGTTCTGAGTAACGATGGGATGGACAGAACTGAACAGACCATTCAGGGTCAAAATGTCTGCCTCATTAAATGACTGTTGTTTGGCATATCCTTGGCTTCTGTCACCTTTGTCTTAACCCTCTTGCTATCATTCACACTCACTTTTGAGCATTAGGGCAATACACCTTCACCGATCTGCAGTGGAACCTCTCTATATGTTGAGCACCGGGAATGAGAATACTGAATATGACCAGAAGGGACCCTGGTGGTGTTTGAAAATAAACTGTAACCTGTTAGTCTTTGCACATCAGTAAAATGATGTCTTGGCTACTTTTTAGTCTGCCCTACAATAAAATTCTTCTTATATAACATCAATGGTGAAAGATCCCTGGGAACAACAAAACTCCTCTTTAACCTCTGTTTGTTAAAGTCTGCAATTATGCCCTTCTCAGGTAGATTTACCATATCTGTATTTTGCCCACAAAAAGATTTTCAGCAGTCTCCTGCTCTAGTTTCAAGGTCTTGAAACTCACCTTGCCTTTGGGCCAGGAATTTCGAGTTTTTCTACCTGACCTTGGATGTGAATAACTGTTTGCGAGTGTATGCGCGTACATCCTTAATTTTAGGAGGAAGGAGTGGGTTTGCTGAAGGTAAGATAGGAACTGAAGACCCACTAGAGGATGTCTCATGCCTTTGAAATTTCTCCTACAACTACCCTAACAAATTGTGGCAATTAAGACGCTGTTAGTGTTAGATGTAGGCAGCCAGTGCAGGTGCTAATAATTTAAAAAGCATTTAGAGCTTTTGCACCCTGGCTGAATATTTCATGATGTGCTGCATGTTTCACTATTTACTCAGTGG